TAAGAGTCCATGAGCTGGGAAGCGCTGCTATGACAATAACAACCTTGGGTTGTAAAGTGTCTAAGTTCGTAAACTGTTTAATATATATATACAGACTAGACCGCCATGCTCATGAAAGGATGTACAGGTTTCGTAAGTGGACACGTTAATGCTTCATGATTTGCGGGAAATACGTGAAGGAAATATTTCTCACCTGACGCAATATTTGTTATGTTACTCTTATCTTATAAGTTATCTTATAAGTTATCTTATAAGTTATCTTATAAGTTATCTTGGGGGAATATTTATGGTGCTATTGTTGCCTGACTTCCCTCCTGTCTCGTAAATTATTAGGATAGTGAATATCATCTTGAAGTTCTCACCTCTCTCTCTCTTACTCTCATACTCATTGTTGCAATCACTCACTCACCATCCCGTGAGGCTCCTTCACTCACTCACCATCCCGTGAGGCTCCTTCACTCACTCACCATCCCGTGAGGCTTCCCGCCTCGTCTTGCAGTAACATAATAGGCTACACATTCTCAGCTGAGAACATTCCTCACTACACCTCGTAACACGTTGACTCAGCCTCTTCTCTCAAATAATGCATCGCATTTTGACGTCAGAGTCCCTACCAACTGATCAATTATGACGTGTCATCAATCATGTTTTAATCAATGATTAAAACATTCATGTTTTCTCTGCGTGGGTTAGGCTGGGTTAGGTTAGGGTGTTGTTTTAATACACCAATTTCCGTCCGTTGTGGCAAGACAAAAGAGCGGGTTGGTTGATCAGCTTGACTTAGAGCGTTGACTTAGGGTTAGGTTAGGTAAGTTTAACTTAGATCAGGTTCCTCTGACCTCTTAAAACCTGACATTGATTTTTCGTTTAAATTTAAAATGTTACAGAATTTGTTTACAAAATGATTCTGCTTTTTTTTTTGATCTCCCAACACTTTATATATTTCAGAAAACTAGGCTTGTTAGGCAAATCGAGCCTTGCATAGTAGGCCAAATAGTGTGTTATGGTTATTAGGTATAGCATATATATATATATACACATATATATATATATATATATATATATATATATATATATATATATATATATATATATATATATATATATATATATATATATATATATCTTATATTTAAAATTTAATCACACAAAAAGGGTTAGAACATTGGTTACATGCAGGGTACAAGGCTACTTGTCACAGGTTGTAGAGTTCTTCCAGCTCCTCAGATGGCGGGCAGGAACCATGGATGCAGTGAGCATTTCCTCTCTGGATCGCCACATTAAGGGGGCTGAAAGAGAAAACTGGCGGCTCTAGGGTTTCTAGTTGTTTCAATTAGCTTAAAACCCAGTTCCTTCAAAAAACTAGCAGCACTTTTACCCCAGGCACCAAGTGTCTCTGAGGCAATGGGGACAAAATTGTAGTGGTGATCAAGGTCTGTATTTACGTGACTTGTCTGCTTCCCGGTGATTGGCAGCACCTCCTGCCTGTGCAGCACTGAAGTCAACATAGGTGTTGGCTACAATTGAAACGCAAGTGTAGTCCCACGCCAACTGTCTACCATTCTTCCAGGGGTTCATCGTGATCCCGTCTGGGCGACCGACAGGCTCATCAGAGTTGCGGGGCATTAGGTAAGGGTTAGAGACGGCCGCAGCTTGGGGCTGGAGTGGGCCGCAGCTTGGGGCTGGAGAGGGCCGCAGCTTGGGGCTGGAAAGGGCCGCAGCTTGGGGCTGGAGAGGGCCGCAGCTTGGGGCTCTAGTGGGCCGCAGCTCACACGAGCACAGCCTGAGGACAGGCTGGAAAACAAACAGCTTCATAACAGTTAAGCCAAATACTGACAAATTAGCGTCAGCGAAAGTTGTCTTTTATCTTCCGTCAGAGTGACCGTTGAGAGCTGTGACTGGAGACTTGCTTCACTCACCTCCAGTCCTGCAGCCCCTTCACTGATTAAACAATGTTCAATCCTCGTACTGCAAATACCAATAATGGCCAACAGAACCTGATCACCAATGTTAGGTCTAACTATTCAGCACATTCTAGTATGAAATAATATGGCCTTATATATGAGGGAAAAACAAATACTGAAATACGCAGAACGTCAAATACGTGATCTCCAAGGTTGGAGATCAGATGAGGAAAAGATCGTTTACCGTCAGGTGAGCCTTTAAACGCCATATGACGTTATCCGCACTCCAAGGGTTAATCACGTAAAAATGTATATGTCTACTCAGTCATTTTCCACTTATACTAAACACAAGTTACAGTAAATAAATAATTCTCAAGACAATCAGTACCTAAATTACAGGAAGCCTAAGAGCAGGATTATCTAGGTGTCCCCCTAGGTCAATTATTCTAACCTTCCCCAGAAGGTCACCAAGATATACAACCCGTGACCTCCGGCCGACCATCATCTGTTGATGGTCATAATTTGGGCGACCCGTGTCATCTGAGACTTTTACAAATAGACCTGCGATGTGCACTTTTTCCTCCTGGTAAACAGTTATGGCAAGTCTTACTGTTAAGAAAGCTTCCATAGTGAGCCCTGCTCTTGATAAAGCTTCCATAGTGAGCCCTGCTCTTGATAAAGCTTCCATAGTGAGCCCTGCTCTTGATAAAGCTTCCATAGTGAGCCCTGCTCTTGATAAAGCTTCCATAGTGAGCCCTGCTCTTGATAAAGCTTCCATAGTGAGCCCTGCTCTTGATAAAGCTTCCATAGTGAGCCCTGCTCTTGATAAAGCTTCCATAGTGAGCCCTGCTCTTGATAAAGCTTCCATAGTGAGCCCTGCTCTTGATAAAGCTTCCATAGTGAGCCCTGCTCTTGATAAAGCTTCCATAGTGAGCCCTGCTCTTGATAAAGCTTCCAGAGTGAGCCCTGCTCTTGATAAAGCTTCCATAGTGAGCTCTGCTCTTGACAAAGCTCTTGATAAAGCTGCCACCCACACTCTTACTCTCGGCAAAGATTAAACCTCTGCGACTCTCGTGTTCCACTTGGATAACGACCTTATGCAATGCAGCTTCGAGACGTAGATATATATGCTACAAGTGGCGCAAGTGGCATACTTTTTATACGGGCTTTCACGTCATTATCTCTACACGCGAGATAATTCGCCAGTGATCACGAGACCCAAGGAGCCAAGACCTGCCATAACTGGGGGTTGGGGGAGTGTAATCACCTAGTTGCATTCACCTAGATGTTCTTGCGGGGGATGAGCTCTGCTCTTTCGGCCCGCCTCTCAACTGTCAATCAGTCAACTGTAACTACTAGCTAATTATTCCCCCCCCCCCCACACACACACACCCAGGAAACAGCTCCGTAACAGCTGACTAACTCCCAGGTACCTATTTACTGCTAGGTAACAGGGGCATCAGGGTGAAAGAAACTTTGCCCATTTGTGTCTGTCTGGTTCGGGAATCGAACCCGGGCCACAGAATTACGAGTCCTGCGCGCTGTAGGTTCAGCTACCAGACCCCTACAGTGTGTGATAACGGGTGAGTGGCGCCCTCTGGCGGGCTCGGCGCCCTCTGGCGGGCTCGGCGCCGTCCACCCAACACTCGCCATCAATGGGGCTTGAATGCAACTGAATACAATAAAGAACTATCAATGTACGGATTAATATGCGGAAAATACGGTGCATGCCCGAAATACAACTAATTTGTTTAGATATTCATGAATGTATACAGCTATATATATATATATATATATATATATATGTCGTACCTAGTAGCCAGAACGCACTTCTCAGCCTACTATGCAAGGCCCGATTTGCCTAATAAGCCAAGTTTTCCTGAAGTGACATATTTTCTCTAATTTTTTTCTTATGAAATGATAAAGCTACCCATTTCATTATGTATGAGGTCAATTGTTTTTTATTGGAGTTAAAATTAACGTAGATATATGACCGAACCTAACCAACCCTACCTAACCTAACCTAACCTATCTTTACAGGTTAGGTTAGGTTAGGTAGCCGAAAAAGTTAGGTTAGGTTAGGTTAGGTAGGTTAGGTAGTCGAAAAACAATTAATTCATGAAAACTTGGCTTATTAGGCAAATTGGGCCTTGCATAGTAGGCTGAGAAGTGCGTTCTGGCTACTAGGTACGACATATATATATATATATATATATATATATATATATATATATATATATATATATATATATATATATATATATATATATACGCGCGTTTACATTAATATTTGTTATTCAACGGCATTCTGCACTGATTTGATCAGCTTATCTGTTACGTGTAAAATGAAGCCATAAATTAGAATTGGGAAATAAATATTGACCAAAATTTAGCTTAGAGTTTAAGTTCTTGTATATTTATCTTACATAGACAATAACAGATCTAAAAATGTACACACACATGAAACGTACATATAAGAACACTGGGAACAGCATCCAAGTTGTACTTAAGATCACCCTAGGTGCAACCTTCCTAGTAGTTGGTTGGTTGCAACCCAACAGTAAAAAACAGACATAAACCCAACAGTAAAAAACAGACATAAACCCAACAGTAAAAACAGACATAAACCCAACAGTAAAAACAGACATAAACCCAACAGTAAAAAACAGACATAAACCCAACAGTAAAAACAGACATAAACCCAACAGTAAAAAAACAGACATAAACCCAACAGTAAAAACAGACATAAACCCAACAGTAAAAACACACATAAACCCAACAGTAAAAACAGACATAAACCCAACATTAAAAAACAGATGTGAACCCAGCAACAAAAGTAGATGTAAAACCGACACACACAAACAAAAAGAGACATACCCCCCCTCCCAAAAAAGGGGGGGAAGACGTTCTCTTAATAGCCAGAGTTAAGACAAATATCTAAGAAAAGTGTTTGAAGGAGTTTTCTCTTATTGAGGAGCGAGTGACAGGCGGCCAGGCCACTTATGTTCTCTCTTTTTTGTTAATTACTTAAGTGATATTATTTGGAAAGACGAGAAGTGGGAAGGGGGTGTGGGGGGAGGGGGTGCGGGGAGATGGGGGAGGGGGTGTGGGGAGATGGGAGAGGGGGTGTTGGGAGAGGGGGTGTTGGGGAGGGGGAGATGGGGGAGGGGGGGTCTTAATGAAAGTTTCGAGATTGGTTATTATTGGCGTGACAGTGTTGTTTATGCTACTGTTGATCAACACTGCTGTTACCACTGGTGTTTTCAACAGGATGGGTAAGAGGTCCCTTACCGATGACATGATGGGTAAGAGGTCCTTTACCAATGACAGGATGGTAATGGGGTCCACATCCACTCACAGGGTGGGTATGGGTTTCATTGCTCTGTTAAATGAATTACTCTGATTAATTAATAATTAATAAGATTAAATTAATTACTCTAATAATTACTCCATTAGTCTGTTCCATTAACTTTGTTAAATTTTAAAGACCCACTGGAAAATATCAACAAGGCAAATTGAGGGACATTCGACAAGCCGCCGGCTTCCAGCCCTCGTCGAGGCCACTAGTGTTAGTGGCTCCTCACGTAAATTCAGGTAAATTACCACCCAGAGCTACATCACCCAGTTGTGTCAGGAGGCAGTAGGCAAGTTCATTCCGGTCCAAAAGGAAAAAGGAAAAACAAAAGAGGAATCCGTGGCTCAGTCAGTGCATGTAAGGAGTACAAGGACGGAGATCAGGGGAGAAACTACAGGAACGCCAGAACACCACAGAGCAGAGGAAGATGCCAGGGGGCCAGGAATGAGTACCTCAGAGTGAGAAGACAAGCGAAGAGACAGTATGAAATTAACAAAAAATAAAGCCAAGACCCAATCAAAACTTTCCTCCTGAGTCACAAAAGGAGGAAAAGAACAGTTGATGAAACTGAGAAAATGGGAGAACAGATACACAGAGAATGACAAGGAAGTGTGTGAAGAATTCGACAAGAGAATCTAGTAGGTCTTCACAATAGAGCATAGAGAAGTGCCTGAACTGTTCCCGAGGCACAGTGGTAAGACACTCGCCGCGTGCTTCACGAGCCATTTGGCCAGGGTTCATATCCTTTTTGGGGAGGATTGACTAGGTGCCAATCCTAAATTGCACGCCTCTGTTCACCCAGCAGTGAATGGGTACCTGGTTATAAAGCGGTTTGGCTGGTCGTATTCCAGGGAGAACTAAGATTAAGGACCTGCCCGAAATGATATGCGTGCTAGTGTCATTGTAAGAACTCTTGCATATAAAATAAACTGAGAAAGTTAGCGGTAAACCTAGCAGCTTTGGAAGAATTTGAAATTTATAGAGATGAGATTAGTAGGCCTGTGCGGTAACTGGACAGAACAATGACTTGAACCTGACCGAGCCTCAGCGTGGATACTAAAAGAGGGTGCGGAAGCCCTATGCGTGCCACTGGAAACTGAAGACCTACCACAAAGTTGCATAAGTTGCAGAAGCAGGTAGCAGTAACAGGTAAGCTGCTACAACGGGTAAGCAACAGAAAACAGTGTACATATGAATGGTCGGGGAAGGAGGGGGGGATTAAAGAATTTTAGAATTGCGAGGTTTCACCAGCGGAGTTCCACAGGGTCAGCACTTGGACCTATTCTGCTTTTGATATAAGTAAACGATCTTCCAGCGGGAATAGACTCGTTCCTCTAAACGTTTGCTGATAGTGCTAAAATTATGAGAAAACGCAAAAAGCCGAAGTTCAACCTCCGTAAGCACAACTAGGTGAGTACATGATGGGTATGGTGCACATTACCACTAATAGGATGGGCATGGGGGTCCATTACTACTCACATGATGAGTATGGGATTCACTACCACTCACAGGATGGGTGTGGGGTATATTACTATTCACAGGATGAGTATGTAGTCTACTTCTAGTAACTTGACAGGCAAGGGGCCCACTGTCATTAGATGGGTATGGGGTACCCTACTATTTATAGGATGAACATGGGGCCCACTACCCACTCACAGGATGAACATGGGGCCCACTACCCACTCACAGGATGAACATGGGGCCCACTACCCACTCACAGGATGAACATGGGGCCCACCACCCACTCACAGGATGAACATGGGGCCCACTACCCACTCACAGGATGAACATGGGGCCCACTACCCACTCACAGGATGAACATGGGGCCCACTACCCACTCACAGGATGAACATGGGGCCCACTACCCACTCACAGGATGAACATGGGGCCCACTACCAGCACGTCACACGTGAGGAATGCAGGGTCCTCCCTCCAAACTTTCTCTCTTTGTATTCTACATCTGAATATTTACGTTGCAAGTAACTACAGAATTTCCGGTCGTTTAAGGAGCTGTAATTATATAAATATGTACGGTACAATTTGTGAGTGGTTGGGAGGAGCGATGATTGGCAGCTGATGACATGAGAGATGGCAGCAGATCACACAACAGATGACAGCAGATCACACAACAGATGGCAGCAGATCACATGAGAGACATATAGCTGGCTCTTATACTGGCCGGAAGGTTCTAGGAAGCTTGGAAGGCTTTCAAGTAGGTCACAGAAGTCCACGTGTCAATGTCTTCTCGCATCAATCTATTATATAACGCCTTATTTTTTTGGAGGGGCTGTCAGCTACATTTGGCTGTCAGCCACAGGAGAAATATTCGTCACTGTTCGACTGTAGCTGAAGTCTGAAGTCTGAGCCTTCAGCGTCAGCAGAAATTTGCCGTGAAAGTCTTGTTACAAAATGTTCTCTGTAGTGATTGGTGGGAAGCTCTTGGGGCGCCATAATTGACACACCCGGATGTTGGCGTTATTTAGATGTGAACTTTATCACTCGTTAATGGACCCAACCCACTCAGGTCACTGACTTAACCCTTTAAGTATAACGTATACGTCGTCCGTTAACACACAAGGACCCCACCGACCTGCCAGGTTGCTAACCTTCCCGAGCGTGGGAGGTGGACCTTCCAAGATCCACCTCCTATACTATATACTATTTCCTATAGTATGGATGCTCTTCACATCAGCACTTGATCACTTAACCAGTATTAACTCTCCAGTTTCTCATCACATAACCCATAGGGAAATAAACCCATGGAATTTACCTCAGTTTTAAATTCAGCTTGAAAAAAATTATCACCTGAAATAATGCGAAGGAGTATGTGTGTGTGTGGGGGGGGGGGGGGAGTGGAAGGGCCTGTGACAAGTTGCCGTCATCCTGTCCCTATTGAGATCACAAGAATGACGGCCTTTCAGTACAAAGGGAAATGTAGACTGATAATCTCGTGGATAGTTCAGTACACAAGAGTGGGAATCAGTGAAGAGCTGTGACCTATTTACAATAGTTTTCCCAGGATGTGACTGGCAGTGTTGCATGAGTGTTGTTGCAGGAGTGTTGCTGCAGGTGTGTTGCAGGATCACACGGAGAACACTCTGTGGGAGACCAGGTCACACATGGGTCATTGTTCACGTAATGGCGGCTTCAAGTTTTCATATTTGTCTCTTCTTTCATCTTTGTTTGGAACAGTTATACCAGATAAATAAGATAACATCTCATCATACATTTTAGTTATGGGATGATAACTGTGAGGACATAATGCAAAGAACAGCTGTATATTGTTCACGTAATTTTACAATAACAGTTGACTGGCTGAACTGGCCACTATAGGTGACAGTAACCTGTGTGCTGGTGACTGGCCACTATAGGTGACAGTAACCTGTGTGCTGGTGACTGGCCACTATAGGTGACAGTAACCTGTGTGCTGGTGACTGGCCACTATAGGTGACAGTAACCTGTGTGCTGGTGACTGGCCACTATAGGTGACAGTAACCTGTGTGCTGGTGACTGGCCACTATAGGTGACAGTAACCTGTGTGCTGGTGACTGGCCACTATAGGTGACAGTAACCTGTGTGCTGGTGACTGGCCACTATAGGTGACAGTAACCTGTGTGCTGGTGACTGGCCACTATAGGTGACAGTAACCTGTGTGCTGGTGACTGGCCACTATAGGTGACAGTAACCTGTGTGCTGGTGACTGGCCACTATAGGTGACAGTAACCTGTGTGCTGGTGACTGGCCACTATAGGTGATAGTAACCTGTGTGCTGGTGACTGATGCAAGAAAATAATCCAGGCAAAGTTTATGGTGCACTTTTTTTTTGCTCACATAGACTTATGCTCACAAATACTCACAACACCGAGGTTAAAATTAAATAACCCAGAGCACACATAAAACAGGATATGAAGGCTGGCCATTACACAGGAGTTATACAGACTACGTCCCCCTGGTGACTGGCAGGGAGGGAGGGGGATCACTCGGTCCTCCGCGCGGCTATGGAGCGTTTAATTATACAGGAACCTATTTTAAATATTTCCCAACCATTATGGTATTATGATGACAAGACACAGAGGGAAGAAGTAAAGGAGAGGGGGTGTATGGGGGTTCGCAGGGAGGGGGGAGGAGACGACGAAAGTGAAAGCGAGGTTGACGGAGGGTTTAAGGGGGGGTGGGGAAGGTGGGGGCACAGCGCCCCCCTCCCTCATCACCCCCTTGGCCTGGATCTGCTCTTAGGGAGCGGGAGCTTCGTCTTGCGCCAGTCACACGGAGAAGCTCGCCGAGGAAGGTTGTGGACTCTACACTTCTAAGCAGGTACCAGGAAGAGAAATCTGGACTCTTGAAATGTTAGCGGGACTTTGTAGCGACCTGGAGACGCTGTCGTCCGCCTCACTCACACTCGCTTTACTCTGCCTCCGTTATCACACTTTATATCGCTGCCTCCAATATATTTACCAGTAGTATATAAGATACTCTGCAGTACAAAAGCATGTTTCTCAGCTGCAACATGTGCAAGTCTGCAGAGGTGACTCAAGACCTTATCAGAAAGTTTGCGAAAGTGGCACGAGTGGGAGAGAGGCCGGATGGGCAGCGTGTCGGCAGGTTACCGGCGCCGGGCCGCCCGCCGCTGACCGACTTACAGTGATCTAACGGTTGACTGGAGCGACGACGACGTGGCGGGCACAGGCTGACGCAGTGATCTAAAACATGACCATTTCCGCGTCACGACGGAAGGTTAAGTTGACGTTATTTCAGACGGGCGTGTGTGATAAGGCTAGAGATTCAGTGAACAAATCCACAAGGGCTGTGACGAGGATTCGAACCTACGTCCGAGAGCAACCCAGACGCTGCCTTAATCGACTGAGCTACGACATGGTATAAGAATTGCAACCAGAAATCCTACTGAATTTAATAAAGATTAGACTACAGCTAGAGATTCAGTTTTGTTAATTCAGTTGAATATAACAGTGAATGTACATTGACGGAGACATTTGGGCACGTTTCATGACGCCTGATATCTCTGTTCACCTAGCAGTATACAGGTACCTGGGAGTTAAGCGACTATTGTATTGCATCCTGGGGAGGTCAGACGGTGGCCTAGCTCTAGACTCTTAGAAAGAGCTCTATAATCCTTACAGTCTTCCTGTCCCCGACAATGGGAGCCAGAACAGCATTTAGATTTGCGTTGATTAAGCCTAATGAATAAGGCAGGTGTTACAGTCTGACAGTTTCACAGAGACCTTACCTTGAGGTGATTCCGGGGCTCAGCGACCCAGCGGCCCGGTCGTCGACCAGGCTTCCGCGTTGCTGGACTGGTCAACCAGGCTGTTGGACGCGACTGCTCGCAGCCTGACGTACGAGTCAGCCTGGTTGATCAGGTCATTCAAAAATACGTATGACAGTATACGAGAATGACAATACGAGACAAGTTGATGTAACGTCAACATACTGGAGAAATCAACATTATGTCACATGATGTTATATGTTAATATAGGAAATTTGTATAATAAGCGGAGTGTTGATGCAACAGCTTGCTCGTCCTTATCGTGCGACCCGTAAGGCAAAAACTGTCGTACTAAAAAATGGTAGAGACTGGCGAAATTCGTCCTGTTTTCTGTTCGTGGGATCTCTGGTAGGTTAGGATAAGGCACTTTAGTACGACAGTATATTGACGTTGGGAACACCTGCGAGAACGGGCGGCATCAACGACATCCCGTCCTCGTCAATAAAGGCCAAATGGTCGTTAATCTAGCCGCCAAACACCTCCCCTTCTCCCTCCATATTTATAAATAACAAACACCTCACACACTGGGCTATTCATGCCCGTGCCACCTCTTGGGTGGCTTAATCTTTATCAATCAATCAATCTCACACACTACTCACAAGAGGTGATGTGTGAAGTCTTCTCAGACACTACTTCCCTCACGCCCTCTGGGAGAGTCGCAGCTCTCTAACCAGCCCGTCCTCCAAACAAAGGCCCAAAAGTGATTCCATCCACCCGCCAAACCCCCTGTTTATGAATGATAAACGGTTTACATACGACTCAACTTATTTCGTTCGAACACTTCTGGAACAAGTGCTTCACAGACGAATTTTGTTCGAACCACAACGCTGTAAATGCTTCACCCACGTACTACAAATACAAATAAGCACCAACAGAACCTAAACACCTGACCTAGTCTATGCCTATATATATGCACAATATGCTAATATATTATAATATTAATTTATATTTGAGAAAATTCCCGTTTTGAATGAACAGCATGTTAAAATTTATGTATGCGTCTGTGGGGTCGACCGCTGGATGTAATGTACTTGAGTCGAGGACGGGTTGCTCTAACTGCTTCATCCACGTATTGTAAACACCAATTATTGCCAACAGAACTTTCCCTAATGTGGGCTTAACTATTCCACACATTTTTGTATATAATAATATTTGTTTATATTTGAGAAATTCGAATTTTGAAAACGCAGTCCCTTAAAATTGTTACTTGGGTCTTTGGGGTGGACCGTCGCACGGACGGGGGCCGAGCCTGAGGACGGGCCGAGCCTGAGGACGGGCCGAGCCTGAGGACGGGCCGAGCCTGAGGACGGGCCGAGCCTGAGGACGGGCCGAGCCTGAGGACGGGCCGAGCCTGAGGACGGGTTCCACCCAACATTAGAGTTTAGTTAATGTTTTGTTAGGAAATTAAATATTTGCTTATCAATGGATCGACTGGATTGAAATATATATACATCAGCCCAACCTCTTGAAATGATAGTACTTTTTGTAACTATGTGGCCAAAAGTACCAATGTGAAGTAATGTATCCCCAGTAAGCCACTTTTCGCATTAGTTGTTATAGTCTGGAAAAAATTTGGATAAAAAGCAAACTTATACATTCCTAGGCCTAATATAGCCCCATATATGTACTATATTAGGCATCAGATAGCGTGTATTAGCCTGGGTTAGGTCTTATTAGCAACATAAATATACAAAATAATTCCTGGTGTGTCCAGCTTTAATAGTACAAAAGTCTACTTGCTGTTAGTGGTCCATCACGACATATTTGTACCTTCGACCATATAGTTATTGTAAGTACTTTCATTTTAGGAGACCGGGCTGTACACATACACTAAGGGGTCAACCGTCGCTGCTCAGGTCTGTCTGTCTGTCTGTCTCTCTGTGTCTGTGTCTCTCTGTGTGTCTCTGTGTCTCTCTCTCTCTCTCTCTCTCTCTCTCTCTCTCTCTCTCTCTCTCTCTCTCTCTCTCTCTCTCTCTCTCTCTCTCTCTCCTACCTTGAGGCTACCTTGAGGTGCTTCCGGGGCTTAGTGTCCCCGCGGCCCGGTCGTCGACCAGGCCTCCTGGTTGCTGGACTGATCAACCAGGCTGTTAGACGCGGCTGCTCGCAGCCTGACGTATGAGTCACAGCCTGGTTGATCAGGTATCCTTTGGAGGTGCTTATCCAGTTCTCTCTTGAACACTGTGAGGGGTTTGCCAGTTATGCCCCTTATGTGTAGTGGAAGCGTGTTGAACAGTCTCGGGCCTCTGATGTTGATAGAGTTCTCTCTCAGAGTACCTGTTGCACCTCTGCTTTTCAACGGGGGTATTCTGCACATCCTGCCATGTCTTCTGGTCTCATGTGGTGTTATTTCTGTGTGCAGGTTTGGGACCAGCCCCTCAATTATTTTCCACGTGTAAATTATTATGTATCTCTCCCGCCTGCGCTCAAGGGAGTACAGATTTAGGCTCTTTAGTCGGTCCCAGTAATTTAGATGTTTTACTGAGTGGATTCTAGCAGTAAAGGATCTCTGCACGCTCTCTAGGTCAGCAATTTCTCCAGCTTTGAAAGGGGCTGTCATTGTGCAGCAGTACTCCACTCTAGATAGCACAAGCGTTTTGAAAAGTATCATCATCGGTATAGCATCTCTAGTGTGAAAAGTTCTTGTTATCCAACCTGTCATTTTTCTTGCAGTTGTGACGGCTACTTTATTGTGTTCTTTAAAGGTAAGGTCTTCCGACATGAGTACACCCAGGTCCTTTACATTGCCTTTTCGTTCTATGTTATGATTTGCCTGCGTTTTGTACGTGGTTCCTGTTTTTATGTTTTCAATTTTTCCGTAGCGCATGAGCTGAAACTTATCCTCGTTGAATACCATATTATTTTCTGTAGCCCATAGAAAGACCTGATCAACATCTGATTGGAGGTTTGCCGTGTCCTCTATGTTGCCAACTCTCATGAAAATCCTAGTGTCATCTGCAAAGGATGATACAGTGCTATAGGTTGTGTTCTGGTCTATGTCCGATATGAGGATGAGAAAAAGTACTGGAGCAAGCACAGTACCCTGGGGGACTGAGCTCTTCACGGTTGATGGGCTGGATTTTATTTTGTTGACTATTACACATTGGGTTCTGTCAGTCAGGAAATTGTAGATCCATCTGCCTATTTTCCCGGTAATTCCTTTTGAACGCATTTTATGTGCAATAACACCATGGTCACATTCATCAAAAGCTTTTGCGAAATCTATGTAAATTACATCAGCGTTTTGTTTGTCTTCCATAGCATCTAATGCCATATCATAGTGGTCTCTCTCTCTCTCTCTCTCTCTCTCTCTCTCTCTCTCTCTCTCTCTCTCTCTCTCTCTCTCTCTCTCTCCTGCTCAAAAAACAATTACACAAAAGTATGAGTCTAAGATGCTTTGCTCTTTCTCTTCCCTTCTTCCTTTTTCATTATTTTTTCTTTTCAGTAACAACTCCAAGAAAATTGCATGCCACATGTCACTCTTGACTCCATGAAAATCGTACAGGTGTCTTTATAATTGATAATATTTAGTAAATATTTATCTTACGCCTAACCCGACCAGTGCATGTCCGTCCCGTACCCCAGACCATTCCCCCTGCATGTTTAGCTGAGGCTAGCCCTAAGTATCTGATCTCAAACTTTGGACAGAGACATTCTCTTATAGTATAGATAATGTTACTGAATATGTTCCACGGGGTTAGGTCGATAACTTTAGCACGAATCTTCTCTGTATTTTCCATCCTTTTCAATTCCAAAGGAAGTTGAAAAATTAACTCTCCAAAGTTACTTATACAAATTTTTTTGGTTTGGTGCGTGTGTGTCGCTATGGGATGCGTTTTGCTGGAGCTCTCTTAAACATCTCAGGAAGACGAAAACTGAGCATATTTAGCAGGTTTGACGTTATATACAGAATGCTGACTGGACAGAGCAACATTGTTTTGTTTTCTTATTAGTTGACTGGGACAGGAGGTGTGAGCTGGTAGTTCTGTTTTGGTTTTTCACATGGTAGAAAGTACCTAAGTGTAAGCTGGCTGTTAATAGATAGATGAAAATGCTTGATATGCAGTGTTTCAGCTATGTCTCCTATTGTCGTACATTCTGTCGATTATTTCCGTGATGTTGGTCAACATCTCTCTGTTGATGGTCTGGTTGTGTATAATGTGCTCTCTGTGTGCTGGCAGGCGCCTTGAAAGAGATATTATCATCTGGCCTATGGATATTGAGATCGTTGGGGTTGGATATATCCAAGTGGGTCTGACAGGTAACAGGAAGGGTACGATGAGGGTCACAGTTTTCCCCCCTTGCGTAGGGAAACTTCGACAAGTCTCTGGCGTTCCTCTTCGAACTTAGTTTACCCGAACTGGATTATTACTGTCGGGAGCAGGAAACCTGTTAGGCTCGTAGCGGTCCCCCCGTGGGTCAGCGACCGACCTTCCCAAGGATACGACCCCACAACAGGTGCCCAACTCCTGGTACCTATTTACTGCTAGGCTAAAAAGAGGCATCCTGTGTAAGGAAACGTATCCAAACATCTCCGTCCTGCATGGGGAGGAATCCAAAACAGAACCTTTCTCTTGTCAATCAACTGCACTGGTCACAGCGCTACAATAGTTACCCCGTAACTGAAACTTGTATACAGCAACGTTTGGGCATTTATTGTGACGTAAATATGTGAGCCAGAAAGGTCTCGCTATCCACTGTATGAAGTAAATATGATAAACGGCTGAAGATCCGGGCCTAAGGTCAAGGGTTGGAAAAGTGTGTTGGCGGGAGAAAGCGGGCCTTCAGGCGGCCAGTTATGGAAAGCTGAGACGAGACCAGAGACTTGAATGCGGCTTTGATGCTCTTCTTCCGCGATGACAGTTTCAAATTCCTTCTCGCTGAACCAGTGACAGCTGGTCGAGGTCTCTATCGTTTCGAAACCCTTTCGCGAGTCATAAACATTTTTAGCCAATGTTGCTGTTTTATTTTTGCAGTGAAGCAATTATGTTAAAGGTAACTCCAGCACGATAAATTCACATAGTTGTGGAGATAGGAAGCCTGTTGGCGGTATCTCTCCCCCCCCCACTGGGGCCACCTATACTGGCCTTCCACAGGATGCAACTCACAACAGTTGCCTAACTCAAAGGTACTTGTTTACAGCTAGATGAACAGAAGCATCGGATAAAAGGAAACATTATCCAAATGCTTCTGGCCTGCCACGGGAATTGAACCCAGGAATGTTCATGGTCTAGAATGTAACATGTGACGAGTTCTAAAACGTGACGTTTGCAATGATGAGACGTGTGACGTGTTCTAGGATGTGACTTATGGTGTGGTCTAGGATGTGACGTGTTCTAAGATGTGACGTGTGATGTGTTCTAGTCCTATTATTCTCCGGTTAAGGTGTTTGCCAGTTTCTCCCACACAACTGATTGTAAGATTTGCAACCAACCATATAACAGTTACTTGGGGAATTTGTAATCGGAGATTTGTTTATGATATCAAGATTCCTATATGCTCTTTAGGAATCTTTGACATTTGTATAGAATCCGTGTCGTGCCAAATAGCTAAAGTTGCCTTGAAAAACAGAATTTTCTTAACTATTACATTTTACAATGTAATACACATAAATAGATAAATAAATCCCTATTATTAATTTATATACAAGAAGTTACATTTATTTTATTTGTAGTCAAAACTAACTTTGAAACATGATCTTTTTTGAAACCTGATTTTTGTAAAAAATATGCACAAACTTTATTAGGCTATTAGGAAAACTGGCCTTGACCAGGCGAGGTAGTGCCTACTGAGTACGGCATATATATTTTTGGCCATGCACTGTGTGCGCATAACCACTGATGGCCCATGTTGACGGTACGAGTTTGACTTCAAGTTACCTCCACAAAGAGTCACAAACGCCCAGATGGAGGCACCCTGCAGCCATGGAGGGAAGGTAAACAGGTCGTGTGGGACTACAAGTGTGCGTCTACATTGGCTGATACCTGTCTACCTCACAGTACAGTTGAGGGAGGAGGGGGGCGCACACCTTCAGGGAGACCCAGAAAACTAACAAATACAGGGACCTAGAACGTTGTTACAGGTTCGTGCCAATAGACTCTTGAGACCCTAGGCGCCTGGGGGTAAATGTGCATTTAAGTTCCTAAAGGAGGTGGGTGAGGAACTCACTGGGAAATCTAAAGACTCAAAAGCGCCCAGTTTCCTGTTCCAGCGCCTCAGTGTCGTGATTCAAAGATGAAATGCGTGCTGTATCTTGAACACGCACCCAACCTCCCAAGAGGTCTTCGTACAGTGATTGCTATATGTGTGTGTTCTTTAAACTGTAATGCAACGTTTATATATTTCTATATATATATAATCAGCCCTATGTAATATTTGTATAAAGAAACTTAACATTATTATTTTAGGATGATGCGTGTGTGCGTGGTGTTGATGGTGCTGGTGGCGGCGGTGGCGGCCCAGGGAGGCGGTGGTGGTCGCCAATTGATCCGACCCGACCCGAAGGCTTGCGCTGACCGCATCAAACACGCCGCCACCTTCCGCAATAATCACTACTACTTCTTCTCCTGGCTCCACGTCCCCACCCAGCAGCACGAGAGGGACTGGCTCGATGCAAGGAACATCTGCAGGTGGGTCTTCTAGTCGTCGTTTTGCTCGCCTCCCAGTAAACTGGCAAACTCCATACTCAACAAAGGGGAAAATACATATTAGCCACACACCATACTCATAAAAAACCTACCAACCACACTCTATACTCACCAAACACCCTACTCACCACTCCATAATCACGGGGGGGGAGGGGGGGGGGAGATAGAAATAGCCTAAGCTACTCTATCCCTTTGAGATGTATTTCTTTCTTGTCTCAATAAACATACTTGAACTTGAACCATAATCACTCATGAAACACCATGCTCACCCAATACTATACCCACCACATACAAAGAGCCAGACCGGGACCAAAGAGCCAGAGCTCAACCCCCGCAAGCACAATTAGGTGAGTACACACACACACACACAACAATACCTTACCCACTACACACAGAGATCACACTAACGTGATGCATCAAATGAACAAATCCACAAGGGCCGTGACGAGGATTCGAACCCTTTTACCCTTTCGTAGCTCAGTCGATTAAGGCAGTGTCTGGGATGCTCCCGGACGCAGGTTCGAATCCTCGTCACGGCCCTTGTGGATTTGTTCACCTTACCCACTACACAATATATTACATACAATACTCGCCACACACAATACCCACCACACCACATCTCCCCATATCGCACCCACCATTCACTATACCATACTCACCACATACCATTACCACCACACACTATGCTCTTTACATAACATATTCTATAATTTAGACACATCATATCAACCATACACAGACAAAACAAGTACCGCCGGGTACCCATCTAGTGCTATATAAACAAAATAGCATGGCTAGCGAGCTTGGTGTGGCTCACACACGACACAAAACTTAGTATACGTCACCAATCACTATTTTTCACTCTATAGCAAAAAGAGATATTCACAGTATCTAATGTAAACACAGTTAGTCTGCTGCATAACACCCCCCCCCCCCCCTCCCTCCCCACAAAGGTCAGGACAAATTAGGGGGGACCTATAACAAGCCGCCGGCCTCCTGGTCTTGTCGCGGCCACTAGATATTGTGGCCCTTAGGTAAATTCAGGTATTTTACAGCTGATACAAAACAATCATCTCACTGACTAGAAATTAGGCTATTTGGAGATATACAGTAAAATATAGTATCGAAAATAATGATAGCAACATATGTGGAACAGAATCTTAATTTTTATAAAGCAGTTATTAAATATTTGCATTCTCTTACAGGAAGCATTGTCAGGATCTGGTGAGCATAGAAACTGAAGAGGAAAACAGATTTGTGACCGAGGCCATCCAGAAAGGTGGAATCAAGTACATCTGGACCTCTGGTCGTAAGTGCAACTTTGATGGCTGTGACAGGCCAGACCTGCAGCCTCCAATTGTCAACGGTTGGTTCTGGTCCGGCTCCTCTGCTCGCATTCCCCCAACCACCAGTACCCGCGGCTGGCGAGGCGCTTGGTCCTCCACCGGAGGCTCTGGCAAAGCTCAACCCGACAACCGCGAGTTTTCAGAGACCCGCAACGACGAGGCTTGCATTGCTGTCCTCAACAACTTCTACCAAGATGGTGTTGTGTGGCACGATGTTGCCTGCAACCACGTGAAGCCCTGGATTTGCGAGGACTCAGAGGAGCTCCTCAACTTCGCTCGTTTCACTTATCCTGACGCTAACATTCCTTAAATAGTATAACTTTGCAACAAAGACATCTTGATCATTAAAGGTGTTGTTTTCCATACTTTCTTCTTGTATCTATAAACGTACATAAACAAAAAACAGCATAAGCATTCACATCCACCCACACATACATGGATGTGCACATACAGTATTGAGGTAATAATTTGGAAAGCCTGGTACTGTAATATTATATTATATTATATTATATTATATTATATTATATATATATATATATATATATATATATATATATAAATTTGCTGTAGCGAATCCCTTATCACCACCATTATCTTAGTTTCTTGATCCTCTTTTGTTTCCATCTCTTACGCCACCTGTATACTCTAATTATTTAATTTTTATTAATTAACATATTTAAGTGAATGATTGTGTCCAAAAGTAATATCGGCTGGACCCGGTGCAACCTCTGTGGTGTACATAGAACTCAAAATTTATTAATCTGAACCTGCCTGTATGTCTGAGTAAATCTATTATTTATACAGTTGTTTTATAAGCATCCTTTCACGGGAGACATCTCCCGTCACGCAGGGTGCAGTCGCACCTCCACAGATCTCCAGTATCATCTACTGATACTGGTAATGGCTCAAAAGGTCCACCACTCACGGGGTATTCATGCCCGTGACACCTTTTGGGTGGCTTAATCTTCATCAATCAAGCATACTTTTCATTCGTCAATGCCTTATCACCCGAAAGATCCCGGGTTCGATTTTTTCGGGAAGTCAGAGACGTTTGGGCAACATTCATCTTATGCTGCTTCTTTTCACTTATCAATAAACGGGTATCCTGGAATTAGGCAACGGTTGGGGGCCTGAATCCCGGTGAATATCAGCAGTTGGCCAAGGACAGGCATGTATGGCGAGCCCGTAGTTGACTTACTTGGCACAGGAGCGGGGCTGGAACTGTGGTCTCATCACTATACTGTACCTTCCTATATGCAGACTTCTCGTAGTACAGTTAGGCTCGTTCTCGACTCATAATTGTGGAGCCTGCACTCGATTTCCCAGCGGGACAGAAATAGTTGGGCACGTTTTCTTTCACCTAATGCTGCTGCTCACCTACCAGTAAATAGTTACCCGGAGGCTAGACAACTGATGTGTGGATTGCATCCTGGGGCAGGTCAGTAAAGTGATCTTGGAGAACCTGAAATAAGACAATATTGGGTCTTCCTGTCCCAGAACAATTTAATATTATATGCAGCCCGGCTTGCACGCCGTCCTCAGACCATTCCATTCCATTCCATCCAGCGGTCGACCCCAAAGATGTATTCATCAATTTTAACATGTTGATCATTCAAAATAAGAATTTTCTCCAATATAAATTAATATAATCATATATTAACATACTGTGCATATTGGTTAGGTTAGGTGTTTAGGTTCTGTTGGCGATTATTTGTGTTTGTAGCATTGGGTGAAGCATTTACAAAGTTGTAGTTCAAACAAAAGTCATTAGCAAAGTTCTCGAAGTGTTTGGGCGTCATCAGCTGTGAGTCGTGTGTAAACCGTTTTTCATTCACAAACAGGGGATTTGGCGGGTGCATGGAATGGACTTTGGCTTTTGTTTATGACGACGAGCTGGCGGCCCAGCCCGTCCTCTAAACAAAGACCCAAAGCGCATTACCATATGTATATTATGATAATATAAAATAATATTAATTTATATTTGAGGAAATTCCTGCTTTGAATGAACAGCATGTTAAAATTTATGAATGCGTCTTTGGGGTTGACCGCTGGATAGAATGGACTTGATCTGAGGACGGGTTGGGCGGCCCTGCAATTTGCCCGATGCTTCAACCAAACACCAAATGCTCGTTTTAATCAAGCCGCCAAACTCCCCGTTTATGAAGGAAAGACGGTTTACACAAGACTCATCGACTCAACTGATGACGTTCGGACATTTCTCGAACAGTACTTTCACTGATGACGTCTCTTCTAAACTCTGTAAATGCTTCACCCATACGTACTTCAGATACAAATAATCGTCAACAGAGCCTAAACACCTAACCTAACCTTAGCCAACTGTACCTAGATCTTTAATATATAATAATGTTTATTTATATATGAGGGCAGACCTATTTTTTAAAACAATACGTTAAGACATGAATGCGTCTTGGGGGACGGAGGCTACTTTAAAGAGCCCGACCTGAGGACAGGTTGGGCTATACATGTATTAGCAAAGTGCTCCGTTTTTGTTTGCCGAGTCCATTCAAAGGTATAGGTGCTTGTAGGTCCCATAACTTAGGATGTATGTGAATGTCAGTATAGTATATATTTATGGATCTAAATAGACCAGACATGTTTGAGACACACATTAATTAAACATAACAGCTCTGAACCGCAGCATCATAGTTATGATTCATGCATAGTTGTTCAAGGCAGTTAAGAGCATTAAAATTATCAGAAGCAGGATTCAGTGATATATTATTTACTTTGAAGCCATAATCATGTTAGCAAAGACACGAATAATTAACGGAGAGCGTAGAGTTGTACAGGAAGTGGACGAGCTTGTACTCTTTAGCTGAATTGAAAGGAAAACCAATATCACTGATTTCTAAACAACAACTGGGTGGTTGTTGCCGAGGAATAAATGTAGTAGCACTACGAAACTAACCCTGCCAACATGCATGATAAATATACAATTGGCAAATTAAGTGACAATAAAATTATTGCGTAAAAAAGTAGCTATTGAAAAAACAGCAGTCAGCACTCAAGAGTTTTTAAGTTACTGAGGCTACAGTTAAGGCAAGTCACATGATTATTTGTGAAATAGCTGCATTTTCTTTTTTTTCCTTTTCTCGGAAGGGAACTATATAAAAAAAAATTACAAAAAAAATACCTGTGGATGTCTGAGAAGTTAAGTGTCCGGAGAAACAGCAAGCTTTTGCAAATACAAGACTCAAGAATACAGTTATTGAAATGAATGTTGAACTGTCAGAATATTTATTCAATTCAGAGAGGTAATAAAGTCCTTTACTGCATTTTATATCACAAGTGATGAAATCACAAATGTAGCTGCATATGATGCAGCACAACTTGCAATTTTTATAGGTGATATTGATGAAAGTATTTAGATAACAGAAAGGTTTATGGAATTAATAAAAAAAAGAGGTGATGATATATTTGAGAATTTGTTGGACAAATTGCCATTTATTGGACTAAAGCTGAACTGGCTTCAGATAAAAAGAAATGTGGGTAGAAAAGTTGGCGTGCCTAATAAATTGAAGCAAAAACTATTGGTTGTGAACGACAACCATGAATTTCGTAATATCCATTACATTATTGATAGATAAATGCAGTGCGGTTACCTTGCGTTGATTCCGGGGGTCAAGGTCCCCACGGTCCAGTCTCTGACCAGGCCTACTTAATGTACAGCAAGACATTAAAAATGGTTATGTCATATTGACGTCGCCATAAAGAAAGTGATTTTTAGACGAACATGATAACTTAACCACAGACAATTCAACTGCATTTAGGAAGTAAATTAAAATCTCAAGGACAGCCATATTTCACTGATGTTTGAGGGTAAATTCGAAGAGATGCATTGAAGTGCATTAATTAGTGCAACCGTCCAAAACATAAATCTAAAAAAAAAAAAAATTCATTTTAACCCTTGACTATACGAACATTTTATAATGAAATATTTTATGGGAGGAGCCTCTAATTGTGGCTCCCTGAAGCTATTTTGCTGAGAAAGCCCAACTACTAGATCACATCAGCTGTGGAGATGAGTTCGGTCAACCGGATAGGACGAAACAACTAGAAACATAACACTACAGTATTAAGAAAAAAGAACAGCACTGGAACGAAGCTGCATTAGCAACAAAATGTCTAAAGTTATTCTTCAGCTTTATCATGCCCTGGTTAGGCCCCATTTAGATTATGCCATTCACTTTTAGTATTTTTCTTACTATTTGCATACTTATTTTGTTTAGCACATATGGGGGTGACAATTTTGATGAGAGCCATTATTCAAGGGTTAATATACAGTATCAGCAGAAATATTCAATTATTTCAGGAACAAAAAATATAGACTGATACCTTAAGCATTTATTTATCTACACAAAATTTAAAAATTACAGAAGTTTGGAATATTGATTGTGCATGCTTTTCACATAATACAGCAAGTTTACAAGTGCTGTTGGTGTTATGCCTTCAATACGTGTTGCTGACGCAATCTGAAAATAAAAAATGGACAATAAAAACAAGATAGATGAGAAGGAGGAATGGGGAGAGGAGAGAAGGGAAGGGGAAGAGAAAGGAGAGAAGGGAAGGGGAAGAGAAAGGAGAGAAGGGAAGGGGAAGAGAAAGGAGAGAAGGGAAGGGGAAGAGAAAGGAGAGAAGGGAAAGAGAAGAGTGTTAAGCATATGAAGTACTTGATTACAATGTAATAGAATCACTGTGTTGAAAATAAATTAATACATAGAAATACAGTACATGTAAAATCAAACTCTCTTCTGGAATGCTTCCAGCAGCTCCTTAAGAATAGCTCAGGCACCACTAAGTCTTAGCTCACAACCGACTTAAGAATGGTTCAGGACGGACCGAAACGTAGTCATCCCTTCACTTTCTAGTGTGTGGTTTGGTCAACATATTTCAGCCACATTATTGTGACTCCTCGTCTGCAAGCCTTAGCTTCACACACCGCCATAGAAGTATATCCTCAGCTAAAGCACAAGGCTCTAATGCATAGGGGGAGAAAAGCCAAGCCCTAAAGTAATACAGGCACACAGCTAGCAACAATCACTTCCCCTCAACATCCCATGTAGTGAGGAGGAAACATCCACATAGCCCAGAAGCAAGAGGATATGGGGGGGAGTTCAACTTGCATGGGAAGAAACCCATACCCTCAGAGAACAAAACTCTGGTGGGGCTAAGGCAGCACAAGCCAGCTATCAAGGAAGAGGGACCTAACTGACAGCCCAAGTGAAATGGAAATACAGGACACACAAGTTGCGTGGCTAAAAGCAAAAAACTGAAGCATTAAATGGAACAAAAAGAGCAATGAACTCTCGTCTAATGAAATGTTCATAGGCAATCCAATACCACTTATCTGAGCGTGTTAAGCTGAATGTGGATCCACAACCCGTTCACGACTCAAGCCCATTACATCCAGCAGTCGACCCCACAGACGCATTCATAAATTTTAACATGCTGTTCATTCTAAACGGGAATTTTCTCAAACATAAATTAATATTATAGTATATTAGCATATTGTGCATATATAGGCATAGGTTAGGTGTTTAGGTTCTGTTGGCGATTATTTGTATTTGTAGTACGTGGGTGAAGCATTTACAGCGTTGTGGTTCGAACAAAATTCGCCAGTGAAGCACTTGTTCCAGAAGTGTTCGAATGAAATCAGTCGTGAATCGTGTGTAAACTGTTTTTCATTCATAAACAAGGGGTTTGGTGGGCGCATGGAATCACTTTTGGGTCTTTGTTTGGAGGATGGGCTGTGGATCCAGCAGAATTTCGAACCTGGCT